GATACTGCTTAAAGTGGCGTTAAATAAGGGTTTATAAGTGCAGTATTACTCCGATTTCCATTGGAAGTTAATTATTTTCCATAATAACAGATTTGGTATTACATTTTATGAAAGTATTTGCATGGAATTCCACAGTGCCAAATACAACGATCAAATCAGACAACAAGCAAAGACTACTACTGATTATTTCAAGGATATATTTTGATATTCACACAGCAATGGCCAGACGGACGGGGCATGTGATTCATGACTGTCACCTTCACACTGCCAGTCGCTTCGTCTGCTGTCAGTAGGTGACGGAGAGTCCACATGGGAACACGCATATAGGCTCACAATCGCAGACACACACTACAGATCCGTTGCCTATACTTATAGAGGAAGTCAAGGTAATCAGGATACCAGCTCAGCACGCACGAGTGCACGATGTGTGCATCAAAGGGATTAACAACAACGACAACAGCAATAATGGATACTGGTTGCTTTGAAGTCTGTTTTGATTGAAGTTTTGACATATTTCACATAAAGAATCCATTTTGTCCTGATTTAAACGTTAAATGCAACGTTAAAAATATGTTTTGAGTCAATTAAATCCAACCTCGAATCCAATTCGTTAAAATATATATGACATACTGTCATCGAATGTTGTGTGAAATGCTCAGTGACTGATGTTTCATAAACAGAGGGTGTTAGTGTCCATATCTATACAGGTAGGTTCTTAGCTGTGTCACGCAGAGAAAAGATATTAACTCATTTAGCCCTAGAGCCACTTTTTACTGCTCAACACCTGGATCCCTCTATTCGCTCGCTTTGGGGAGACTAATAAGTGCTAGTCTCACCTGATTTCCCCGCAGGTTTCGTGTCATAAAGATCTACATGGAAAGAATGTTGGTGTGAATACACATTACAACAATTTATGTCATTTTAATGCAAGTTTGTTAGTGCCTATAGCTATACAAAAAGTTTCTTAGCTGTGACACCCAGAGAAAAGATATTAAAGTAGATGAGATTAGGAACAGTTTTAGAATAAATTTACATGACGAATAAGATATTATAAGCGAGACAGCAATGTTCTTCCACGAATACACGCTCACAGTTTAGTACATTTAGTGATTTAAACTAAACTAACAGCTGCGTGGAGATTGTTAACACGATGTTATGCTCACATCTTTATTTACACTAATAGGCCTTTGGATTTTCCGGTTATTCCACTGTTCCAGTAATACAGTAAGCCCCCCACCTCCCACCCCACCCCACCCCACATCTGTCATTAAAACAACCAACAATACAAACTATCCCTAAAATATTCAGCCGATGTTGCATTAATAACGAAGTGGTCCTCTTTTGTGTCATCCTCCATACAGCCTCATGCACTTGTAGTGCACAATGTCAGTCACTACTGAGAGAAGGTAGCCCAGTCAGATAATCTGAGGTCACTGTTTTCTGTTTTGGTTCTAGAAAATAGATCTTCCAACCATCACCAGCGGCTGAAGGGATGGTGTTATTCCAGCTAGGGTCCGTGCAGGTAGCAAAAGTAATGTAAGTCCCCATGGTTCCTGGTGTGGTGATCTACCTTCAGTTGTTGGCGATCTATAGCCCGTAGCCCGTGTAATGGCTAAACAAGTGGCGTTAAACCAAACACATTAGCTTTAAGTTGCAGAAAATCACATGACATTAGACTTTCATTGATGAATTATTTATTTCTGCCTCTTGTAACATATCTATACATAATCAAGCGCTGATCTTCCGCGAAAGGAGTGCTATATAAAAAAGAAACAGCTACTGTTTTTTTCAATATTATCTTTGAAATGACCAGAAATATTATCTGACAATTAATGATGATAAAATATCTTACCTTCATCAAATACATATGTTTTAACATTCTTCATATGTTTATAGCATCATGCACCACGGCTTAGATAACGGCTTAGATAAAAATCAACCACTGTCAACAGCCCGCAATGTTTTCTAAATAGACATTTCTACCAACCAAAGATAATAGCCCATAATATCGACAACTAACAAGTATGAAAGCTATGGATCACATCCAACTAAAACACCAACTCTATGTATGACACCAATATACAATCATGAATCACATCCCACAAAGATACCAAACATATGTGGGTCATTCTCAGAATTTGCCCAAGTTTTGGACAGTAGCACATTTCTCTGAAAGTATTATTTCACATTTTTTTTCAAAAATCGTATTATCAAAGAAAATGTATTCTGTTCCTCATAATGATGTAAAATGGTGTACCTGTTTGTTATTTCTGGGACACATTTGGGTTTTTATCATCATTTTGAAAGAAAAACCACTGTCAGTGGACAGCGACACTACTTTGCAGTACCATAAAGGTTAAATTCCAGGCCATTTATATATATTTTTTAAAGATTTATAATGAAATCCCAATATTAAAAACGCATTCCTGCATGAAATATTGGAAAAAAAATTAAATCACATACTTATGACGAAAACAATGACTGTCCAAAATGTCACAGTCAGTGGTGTAACGAATATAAATTTGTGACATTAATAATTATCCCCCTTGAGTAAAATATGGAATACTAACTGGCCCCTTTGCTGATGCCTTCCTCCTCATGGCAGGAGTTTAGTGGAGGCCAAATTTTATCTTGATGTTGAAGTTTGTTGAATTGGTGAGTCTACTTTGTATCATAACTTTTTTATCGAGTCAGTTGTGTAACGCTGATTACTTATTCATATGTATTTTTTCATAACATTGTTCATTTAAAGTACATCAAAGTTAATGAAACATCAACATTTATCAACATTGGTCAGTGGTTAGGGAGCATTAATTGTTATAACGTTCATAAAAGTGGGAATAGGTCAGTGGTGTAACTGTCAGTGGTATAACATGGGAAAATGTTACACCACTGACAGTTTTTGCTACACCACTGACAAAATGTTCATTTAAGACACTTGTTCACAGAACTTAAAGGTCACATGCAACGTAAAACACAACTTTGCAGATTCTGATACCTTTCGGTATGGACTTACCGAAACAAAGCGTCAAAAATGCAAATTCAACTTATAAAGTTGAAAAATAACGCGATGAAAAAAACCGCGCGAAATCGGAGTTCAAACGTTTCACTAATTTTCCCCCGACTTTTCTGGGGGAAAACGGGTTTCAACAGCTGGGCTGCGCTTATAGCACGTGCGCAGTGAAGTAGGTTCGCGCAGCTTGGAAGCGGGTTGTCCGGTGAATGCTCGGTGAAGGCTTTGGTGTGAGCTATTTTTCTTATGTTTTGTTGATATCTCACAGGCGCGAGCTTTTTATATGTTATGACAGTAAATTAACTGTTTATATAATTTCATTTGTCTATTTCACCACACGTTCTTTTTACCGAGTCACTTTCTCAGTTCGATGCTTAAAAGCAATGCCATTATTTAGCGTTGACAGAATTTCCAACTGTGATATAGATATGTCGTTGTCACAGACAAAACTCAATGTCTTGTTTTATTGACACCATGTGTGTCTGCCTGCCTGTCTGCTAATGACAATATTCAATACACAGCTGCTATCACTGACCACATGCAATTTGAACTTAACACCAATCAGGCTATACACCATAAACAAAATGCATTTATGGCCCGAGTTCGGTCTCTGTCACATTATGTAATTACACAGACAGGCAGGCGTGATACTTGAACACATGACATGTTATGATGTCTGTTGATTGCAAAATGTTATACACAAAAAATGAGCATGTATTTACAAAACCCAACATCTCTATATATACACACACAATGACCCGTGGGGGCATCTGCAAATGAACCAGCCGTTACACTTGAGTGCACACCCACCCGCTCTGACTGGGTTCAGTATCCCGGCTGCTTCGTTTCTTGGGAAGTAAACCCAAGTACACAATATTGCCCTTTTGATTTGCGATTGTACGCTTATAATTTTGTTTATATGTTTTTTCATAACCAGCAATGTATATTATATGTCATGAAGAAGTGATAATTGTGTTTTAATTATGTTTGATTTTTTGGTTGCATGTGACCTTTAACTGCTTTGCATTGTATTTATCCAGAATATTTTATTGCCATTAAGTCATGTAAAGTCTGTGAAGGTAATTTGTTCTGGTATATTAGTATATAAAGTTCAGAAAAATCAGTGGTGTAACAAAAGATGTCATTGGTGTAACGATGTTACTGCAATATGTTCATTTTATTGCTTTTAATATTATTTTTGAAAAGCCTTTTAAAGTCTGAGTGATCAGAATTTGCTATTGATCTGTTCAACTCTGTTAATGATCAATTAAAGGCAATTAATTTAAATTTATCGTTGAAGTTAATTCAAGAAAAATCAGTGGTGTAACAAAAGATGTCATTGGTGTAACAATATTACTACATTATGTTAATTGTTTTGTTATATTATTTTTGAAAAACCTTTTAAAATATGAGTGTTCAGAATTTGCTATTGAGCTATTCAAATCTGTTGATTATGAATTAAAGGCTATTAATTTGGATTTATCTTTGCAGTAAGGTAAAGAAAAGTCAGTAGTGTAACACAACATGTCATTGGTGTCACAGTATTCTTTGAATTTGTAAATGTTATTCTTACCTGTTGATATTATTTGTTTTTCAATGCCACATTTTGAAAATCGTTCTCCAATGATGATTATTAAGTAATTCAAAGCATCATATGGCTGTTGATTTGGTTTACTGCTCTAGTAAGTTGCAGAAAGTTCAGTGGTGTAACAGGCGGGGTAACAAACAATATCAGTGGTGTAACATGCGTATTTGCTAAGATTTAATCATTTCAAAAGAATAATTTAACAGTTAGACTGATATTTTATGATAACTGAAAGCAGCTTTAATACCAATGTATACATCACACATGATTAGTCTTAAGTATACAAGTTATATCAGAAGAAATATCATATGTTACCATTTCATTCTTCTCACACCAAGACATTTTTGCTAAATTTACAATTACATTTGTGAGAATAATGAAGTGATTTAATTTATATTTAAAAAAAAAATAGTTTGTAAATAGTGACAAAAGTGAAAAATTCCTAATCTCACATCAAAGTTTGAAAAAAATTACTTTTATGCTTGTTACACCACTGACAGGTTTTTTTCAGTGGATACTTTAAAAAGTTAATTTTAAAAATATTTTGTTACTTTCCTGTGTGCAAATTATCATGACTGCATTTTTTAATGTGTTGACCATTCAAAACAATAAAGAGATAATTCAATATGATGCTTTGTATTTTCATATTTTTCATAGCATGAATTTGGCCTTTTTTTGAGAATGACCCATGTATAAAACCAATATAAAACCATGAATCATATCCCACAAAGATACTGAACATATGTATAAAACCAATATCAAACCATGAATCATATCCCACAAAGATACCAAACATATGTGTAAAATCAGAATAGAACCATGAATCACATCCCACAAAGATACCAACTATATGTATAAAACCAATATTTGACCATGAATCACATCCCACAAAGATACCAAATATATGTATAAAACCAATATGCAACCATGAATCATATCCCACAAAGATACCCAATATATGTATAAAACCAATATACAACCATGAATCATATCCCACAAAGATACCAAACATAAGTATAACACCAATATGCAACCATGAATCATATCCCACAAAGATACCAAATATATGTATGAAACCAATATGCAACCATGAATCATATCCCACAAAGATACCCAATATATGTATAAAACCAATATAAAACCATGAATCATATCCCACAAAGATACCAACTATATGTATAAAACCAATATGCAACCATGAATCATATCCCACAAAGATACCAAATATATGTATAAAACCAACATACAACCATGAATCACATCCCACAAAGATACCCAATATATGTATAAAACCAATATGCAACCATGAATCATATCCCACAAAGATACCAAACATAAGTATAACACCAATATTTGACCATGAATCTAATTCCACAAAAATACTAAACATATGGCTAAAACAAATATAAAACCAAGAATCACATTCCTCCAAACTGCCAAACATGTGTATAAAACCAATAAACAAACATGAATTACATGCCACAAAGGTACCAAACATGTGTTCAATATGGAGCGTTAGTGCAAAGGAAGACACAGTCTTGACTCTCATCAGAAACAAATTCCGTTTGATGTGAATGGACAAAATAGTTGGGAAAATTATAGGAATGGATCACAGAAAATCAGTAATAACACCAAATACTAAACCAATATAAAACCATGAATCACATCCCACATAACGTATTTCCGCTACCGATATATCCCGATATGCTACCACGAGAAACATCTCCAAATATGCTATATCAAGTAAATGCTTAATAACAAAGTGTATCATGACACATGTATGTGCACTTGTGTACATTTCCAGCCAGGACAGCAATGTTGACTTCGTGTTTTCCACTTCTAATGCACAATGCTTCTAATACAAAATACACCGCTAAGTTTGGGCAGGGAAGTATTGACAGGGAGTGTCGCCCAGAAGCTTAACAAGAATATCAAATTGTATTTCTAATATACAATGCTTCTACAGTTTTGTTTGGGCAGGTAAGTGTTCATTGAGAGTGTCAATTAGAACTGTACCCCAACATCAAATGTTATGTTTCCCAGCTCCAACAGACAGCTGGGATACCTCCCCTGTTGACATTGCTTCTTGGAAAATTGGAGTCTTAATGTGTATAATAAGACTTGTCGTCAGTTTGTTTCATATTCGACCTTCTCCTTCGTCTGGTGATGATGACGCCCAAGAAGATGGCAATGACGGCAACAGCGATTGCGACGCATCCAATGCCAACCACGGCTGGAACCATCCATGTTCTGGAGCCACCAGTGCTGATCTCTCCTTTCACGACTGTAGGGATGTAATAACATGACATGTTAGGGACACCACAAGTTGAAGTGTTTTATTTATCGATGCCTCTTATCCAGCTGTTACAGTTAAAGTTAGCGAGATAGCTGGAACGGTCAAATTGATTGTTATGTATCCATGCCAGTGTTATTACTCCTGTTTGTTTGTTCTGCTAATTACCCCGTAGGTGGCTACTCTGCAGATGACTGAATATCGGTCATGTGGAATTTGTTGGAGTAATTTGTTAGAGTATTTCATTCAAAAGTGAACTTACAAAATGAGACGGCTAAAGGAAACGACAAAACGTTTGGTTCGACTAGGTCCTTTTAAAGAGTTTTAAAAAGATAATTAAGGAGTCAACAGACATGTTGGTTTCTACATCCGAGAAGATTGTGAAGCATATAGTGGTGTTGTTCAAGGCAGCAGTCAGCTCTATGGGCCACGCTGACAATCGATATAAACACTTGTTTATTAATTGTACGGTTGTTAGTATTGTACTCACTGATTCCAATGAATATTGGGGAGTTAGTTGAAGTGGGCGTGATGCTCTGTTCAAGGTTGGAGTTCTCAGTTACATTGCATAGAATTACCTGCTTGGACGCCATTTTCTTCAATAGTGACTTTGAAAGTTCTTGACAAGGTGAGATCTCCTTCTTCAGCCTGTCGTTTCCTTCGGCCGCTACACACCGGCTGAAATTTGGAGCGGAATGTGACTTGGTGAATGATCAGTTCACGAAAGTGAGTGAGTGAGTTAATATTTTAACGTCACGTCGGCAATATTTCAGCCATATCGAGTTCACGAAAGTGTTTGGACAAAGTTACACTTTATATTACGCATGACTGTTGATAATGTTGTCATATTGATAATCAACGTTGATATGAATCCTCAGTTTAAAAGAGTCATTAAACACCAAATAATGACAAGGTCTTGCATACGAAAGCAATGAAAACTATGAAAGGAAAACGAAATACCCCGGTCCAACATATTACCCCTTTCTGAAACAGGACAGAACACAGCAAAAATTACTCCTGGAGCGATGTCATGTCTATAAACTGCTAACGGCTACCTCTGTGCTGGGTGCTGAAGAAGGAATGCTGCGATTTTATCCCCCTGCCTCACTGCCAAGGGTAACCTTCATGTTAAACGACCGCAAAGTAAATTTTTACCATAACAGTTGAAGCTGCATTACTGAAGACTCTAAATCGGACTTTTAGGACCAGAACAGGGTTGGACAGACTCATGTCATGTTCAAACACAAAAAGCCTCAGGATGAAGCAGATTGTGTGTTTCTGTCCGGCTGGGGAGAAGTAGGGGGGCTCGATGAGGATGGCCTTGTAAACTTGAGGGGCGCACCTGTTAAATCAAATACTTTCGTTGGTTACATACAGAAAGTCCATTGGTTTTTGAGATTGGAAATGTGATCTGATACTGCTTAAAGGATTCTGGAATTCATGTCCAACACAACATCTAGTCACAGTGTAACTGTGCATCGTAAGACATTCAGCAAGTGTTAATAGTTACAAGACTTATGAAAGCAGATGGCAAAATTTAACGTCACCTCGGCAATATTTCAGCCATATAGTGCCGAGAAAGGTTTTCAAAACACAATAAATATAAGTTGTTAAATAACCAGTCATTAAAGTACTGTAAAATAACTAGGGTATCACAGATGATGTTTAAAACTAGCATGTAAATCTAAAACTATTTTATTTACGGAGACCATACAATATGAAAACAGGCTATTGGTCGCCAACAACTGAAGATAGATCACTACAGGGACTTACAGTGCGTTTGCTACCTGCATGGACCCTAGATGGATTTACGGTTATGAGAAAGGACATACATAGAAGCTGAAGTTTGAACGTTGGTACGTAAACATGGGATGTAAGTCTGAATATTTTTGGATGAAAAAGTATTTAAATACATTTGTAAAATATACACATTTTTAGATTTCAACATTTACACTGACCACTGCACATGTAGGAAGGCGTGGAGTTATCCCACAGACGACATCCTTCCCTTTCATAGTTAACCTCTTGGCTTCATATGGACAGGTCTTCCGACCTCGCATCAGGTCCGTGGTTCGAATCCCATTGCGACACATCAAAATGATATGACCTCCACACTAACATGCCACGTTTCGAATGAACACTTACCCATAATTGTACAGAGAAAGAGATCTCTTGTCCAACCCTGCTCTGTTGTTCTGGACGGTGATGGAGTGGATGATGATACCATCCTGTCCAGGTACTGGAGATGAAGAGCGAACGCCAAGATGATACAACTCGCATGCTAATGATATACTGATGACGTAATCTAATGAGGCGTGGAAAATTGTTTACATTATAAATCACTGGTTCGTCTGGACCTGGCGTCATTATTAGAATTTACAGTTAATAAACTTGACCGCACCTTTTAAAAGGAATACTACGTTGTACAATTTAGGTCATGGAACACCTTCATATAGCTGGGATATGGTGCAATACAAACTTCTTCTATAAAGAAACGTGTCTGATCGCTTCCCGCAGTTGAGTGACTTAACCGTTCAAGAGACTGCAAGAGAGACTGCGTGCTGGTGACAAGACTCCTATGGAGTTCTTTGACGCTGTGGGGCATTTGCTTAAACTTGGGTAACTGCTACTATAATGACTGTGTTGCCTGTCTGAACTACATGTGTTTATAATGTGATTAATTATATAGCTTAATATATTCTTATACATATATGGCTTAGTATGCTGAATACGATAATTTTTGTACCACTAAACATTAAATTACCTTAATTTTTTGTATACATGCTGAATAAAGTCATTATCCATCAATTTGGATCAGTCCATTACGTATTAAAGGTAACACTGATATGTGTACCTGAGTGCAATTAACCATAACTTTAGTTGTTTTAACGTGTCTGACAAATGGCACGTTTATCTTTTGGGAGGACACCGTCCAAAATGTTTGCTGAAGGGTGGAATCTTAGCTTGGTTTGTATGCACCATTGCCGTGCTAACAGAATACCCTAGCTGAGCAATCAGCATCACTTCCTGTTGGAGGCTGACATGATGGCAATACTGTTCTTAGCGGCATCAAACACAACTCGCTCACTAATATCACTACACATTATCACCAGTACGATATATTTTTTCATTCAAATTGAGGAAGGGTTGATGCAGTACGTAGGGCAGGATAACGATGCCCTATCTATGCCTAAATGATCTATTACAGTAAGTTTATATGCTTCACGTTACGTTTAAAGGTATGAAATATAACTATGATCATAGTATGAAACTTGCTTATTTCAAAGAAGCACAATGGTGTCTTGGCTAGAGGAATACATCTCTCAGACAAAACAACTTTCAATTCTAGCGAGGTTCGTACAATACATGGATGAACGATTGATGAAATAGGTGACAGGTTAGTGAGGGGGTGATGTCTGTTTGCCACAACCTTAGTTACCAGTGTCCCCGTTAAATGACAGCGTCTCAGCCATATGTGACAGGAAAGCCCGAAGTGATGCGCTTCTTAGGCTTTTACCACTCCGATGAAACCCACGAACATGGGTATGGTGCTGTAAAACCCAGAACCGTAATTGTGGCGAACCGAAAACGTAATTGGTGGCTTGCGTTCACAAGGGAAGCAACTCTGCTAATCGAATTGTGACGCCTGAGACGACCAGACCACCCACGCCATCGGGAGTTTGTTTAAGTGTTGAAATGACATTAGAATATATATTGTGGGGTTTATAATTCTGAAATGATACCCAGGAGCTATGAAATTCGCACCATTTTGAACGGACAAGGTTATTTTGACATCAGTTCCCAATGCTAGAATGGAAGGGAGTGGATTTCCATCTTTGGCTGTGGCGTCCATATTGGCGGGGACAAGTTTGCTCGTCCCACCCTGGAAAGACGTGACATCGTTGCTGAAATGTTAGAAGACAAACGTGACAATAATTATTTACCCAAAGATGAGTATGCATAACCCGGTAAAATAAAAACATTGATTTTGGCTTATGTCGTTTATACCTTCGGGGTCATTATAAATTGTCACCAATAGCAAGTATTAGTTTGACACCCAGGAACAGAAACATTACTACAGATTATGTATTGGTTTGTCTCTTAGTTCACGCCGCATTCGGCAACATTCCAGCTATATCACGGCGGTCAGCGAATCTTATCATCCATCCTCTTTAATCGCCTGTTACGACGAACATAGGTTGCTGAAGATCAAACAACCATAATTCTGATACCCACGGGAAGTTATACTTGCCACCAACCTACCTGGCCGACTGGCCTTCAACGCCGATGTTGTAGTTGACCTCGAGGGAGTTGTTGTTAAACTCACAGGTGAAGGTGACCTTCTCATCAGTGCACTGCCTGACATCTCTGGTGTATTGCACAAACAACTGGAGTACATAGGAGGTCACGTTGCCCTGTGATAATACATAACAGCAATAGGAAAGCGTAAGTGAGACGCCCCATGTGTGTACAGTCCGTTTGATTTCATTTGAGACCGAGGAATTGCTCGTTAACATAAAATCTAATAATTGCAACAAAACCAAAATTTGCACAGTCACATGAAATCGACAGATCAATTCCGAAAAAAAGGTTGTTTAACGAAGAGATCATTATTTTGCTGCAAGGGGTAGTGGGTGCAGGGTGGGGCGGCGGGAGCTAGTAGAAGAGCCAGATGTGCGAGTTGCACGTGTGAAATTGAAATTTCACTACACACGTTTGTTGATTACCTGGCTGTCTTACCACCAAGTGATTTTATTGCAATTATTAGATTTTGTGTTAAAGGTCACATGCAACGTAAAACACAACTTTGCAGATTCTGATACCTTTCGGTATGGACGTACCGAAACAAATCATCAAAAATGCAAATTCAACTTATAAAGTTGAAAAATAACGCGATTAAAAAAACCGCGCGAAATCGGAGTTCAAACGATTCACTAATTTTCCCCCCAATTTTTTGGGGGAAAACGGGTTTCAACAGCTGGGCTGCGCTCATAGCATGTGCGCAGTGAAATAGGTTCGCGAGCTTTTTATATGTTATGACAGTAAATAAACTGTTTATATAATTTCATTTGTCTATTTCACATCACGTTCTTCTTACCGAGTCACTTTCTCAGTTCGATACTTAAAAGCAATGTCATTATTTAGCGTTGACACAATTTCTAACTGTGATATAGATATGTCGTTGTCACAGACAAAACTCAATGTCTTGTTTTATTGACACCTGTGTGTCTGCCTGCCTGTCTGCTAATGACAGTATTCAATACACAACTGCGATCACTGACCACATGCAATTCGAACTTAACACCAATCAGGCTATACACCATAAACAAAACACATTGATTTATGGCCCGAGTTCGGTCTATGTCACATTATGTAAATACACAGACAGGCAGGAGTGATACTTGAACACATGACATGTTATGATGTCTGTTGATTGCAAAATGTTATACACAAGAAATGAGCATGTATTTACAAAACCCAACATCTCCATATATACACACACACAATGAACCGTGAAGGCGGCATCTGCTAATGAACCAGCCGTTACACTTGAGTGCACACCCACCCGCTCTGACTGGGTTCGGTATCCCGGCTGCTTCGTTTCGAGGGAGGTAAACCCAAGTACAAAATATTGCACTTTTGATTTGCGATTATACGCTTATAATTTTGTTTATTTGTTTTTTCATAACCAGCAATGCATATTATATGTCATGAAGAAGTGATAATTGTGTTTGAATAATGTTTGATTTTTTGGTTGCATGTGACCTTTAATGAACAATTCATCGGTCTCAAATGCAATCAAACGGACTGTATTGATTAATGTTCGTGAAAAGAACACACAAAAAGACCAACAAAAATAAAACACAATATACCCGTTATCCGTGTGTCACTATTAGCATACTAAATGTGAATGTTTTAGCTATTAGTATACCGAATATGAAAGTTTGTGCCAGCCGTCTGTATGACACCATAAGAAGAACAAACGTGAATGTTTGTCTTCTCTACGTCACCATCAGAATGAAAAATGTAAATGTTTGTGCTAGGCATTCTACGTCACCATCAGAACGACAAATGTAAATGTTTGTGCTAGTCTTCTCTACGTCACCATCAGAATGACAAATGTAAAAGTTTGTGCTAGTCTTCTCTACGTCACCATCAGAATGACAAATGTAAATGTTTGTGCTAGGCTTTCTACGTCACCATCAGAATGACAAATGTAAATGTTTGTGCTAGTCTTCTCTACGTCTCCATCAGAATGACAAATGTAAATGTTTGTGCTAGTCTTCTCTACGTCACCATCAGAATGACAGAATGACAAATGTAAATGTTTGTGCTAGTCTTCTCTACGTCACCATCAGAATGACAAATGTAAATGTTTGTGCTAGTCTTCTCTACGTCACCATCAGAATGACAAATGTAAATGTTTGTGCTAGTCTTCTCTACGTCACCATCAGAATGACAAATGTAAATGTTTGTGCTAGAATGACAAATGTAAATGTTTGTCTTCTACGTCACCATCAGAATGACAAATGTAAATGTTTGTGCTAGTCTTCTCTACGTCACCATCAGAATGACAAATGTAAATGTTTGTGCTAGTCTTCTAGTCTTCTCTACGTCACCATCAGAATGACAAATGTAAATGTTTGTGCTAGTCTTCTCTACGTCACCATCAGAATGACAAATGTAAATGTTTGTGCTAGTCTCTCTACGTCACCATCAGAATGACAAATGTAAATGTTTGTGCTAGTCTCTCTACGTCACCATCAGAATGACAAATGTAAATGTCTTCTCTTTGTGCTAGTCTTCTCTACGTCACCATCAGAATGACAAATGTCAAATGTTTGTGCTAGTCTTCTCTACGTCACCATCAGAATGACAAATGTAAATGTTTGTGCTAATCTTCTCTACGTCACCATCAGAATGACAAATGTAAATGTTTGTGCTAATCTTCTCTACGTCACCATCAGAATGACAAATGTAAATGTTTGTGCTAGTCTTCTCTACGTCACCATCAGAATGACAAATGTAAATGTTTGTGCTAGGCTTTCTACGTCACCATCAGAATGACAAATGTCAAAGTTTGTGCTAGTCTTCTCTACGTCACCATCAGAATGACAAATATAAATGTTTGTGCTAGTCTTCTCTACGTCACCATCAGAATGAAAAATGTAAATGCTTGTGCTAGTCTTCTCTACGTCACCATCAGAATGACAAATGTAAATGTTTGTGCTAGTCTTCTCTACGTCACCATCAGAATGAAAAATGTAAATGTTTGTGCTAGTCTTCTCTACGTCACCATCAGAATGACAAATGTAAATGCTTGTGCTAGTCTTCTCTACGTCACCATCAGAATGACAAATGTAAAAGTTTGTGCTAGTCTTCTCTACGTCACCATCAGAATGACAAATGTAAATGCTTGTGCTAGTCTTCTCTACGTCACCATCAGAATGACAAATGTAAATGTTTGTGCTAGTCTTCTCTACGTCACCATCAGAATGACAAATGTAAATGTTTGTGCTAGTCTTCTCTACGTCACCATCAGAATGACAAATGTAAATGCTTGTGCTAGTCTTCTCTACGTCACCATCAGAATGACAAATGTAAATGTTTGTGCTAGGCTTTCTACGTCACCATCAGAATGACAAATGGCTATAACGTCACAAGAGAATACTTATCATAGAGAATGTCAAAAGAGAATACCCACACTAAAGGACGGTCCGAGTTCACCGCAGGTGCCGTTGTAGGGTATGACGGCGGCATAGCCCTTGCACCAATCCACGATGCCGTCGCTTGGGTCCGCTACCGGCGGAGCAAGAATTAAGCTGCATGCGGAGACCTTCTTGAAGTTGTGTACATATATATCCCCGCCAAAAGTGTTTACGGATAAAGGCGTGATACAGACACTGAAGTTAGCAGGATTGCACTGGTGAAAATCTGAAAATATATGGTAGAGAGGTTTGGAAAGAGTGAGCAAGTGCCTTCAGCTTGATACCCCTCTGAACGGTATTCCAATTTCATCACATTAGCTAAACGTGTGAAGAAAGCCCGAAGTGAAGAACTTGTCAGATGTTTTACCAATTTAGTGAAACCCACGAGCACGGGTATGATGGTGACAAACATGGAAACATACTCGGGGAGAACCGGGATTCGACCCAGGTCGGTGGGGTAGCCTAGTGATTAAAGCATTCGAGCGTCACGTTGTGAGGAGCCCAAAGCATAACGTTTCTTCAACGTAAATTTGCAACGTTCTTATTACATTGTGGCATAACGTTATACGTTGTGACAACGTTGTGTCATGACGTTACCAATCACAACCTTCCCACAACGTTGTGTGTTAGCTGGGATACTACTCTAAAGAATATTGAAGTTGAGTTGAAGCATTTCCAATTCTTTCATACCACTGATGTTTATTTGCCATGAACTACCGAAAACACGTTTAAGACATCCCAAATCTTCTATATTCCTATAGTTGATATATCACATTAACTCTAGTAAAATGAAATGATCGGCTCTTCGTAACGTCTTTTGAATTAAGCCACTGGTTGGCGTAAATCAGAATTTTACATGTGTACTTCATATAACATAATTACCTTGTTTACCATATTTAGTCTGATAGTTGACTTACGATAGATACGTCATTTACTGTAGAAATCATGCCGGAAGACAAATATATCAACTCACATGCAGGTTTATCGCAAATGTCCCCTGCAAAACCTGGATCACAGATGCACGTGCCGTCCACACATGTTCCATTCACACACGCTGGACTGCACTTCGTGGTTTTCGTCGACGCTAGAGCACACGCAAAAGGTCAAGGTCACAACACACACGTCATCATTGTACTGTATTGCACAATCTGTGATGTGTACAGTGAAGTATATACAGGTAGACACAGCAGTACATCAGACAATATAGCACGTTGAATATGCAATATTGTGTCTGTCAACAGTTTTCAGTCAGAAATCATTATATTTATCTGCCATTTTTAGTTCTGTCGTTAAATGATAAGATTCACAGAACATATGATTGTTGGGCTAAGACCTGTGTTGGATCTATTGTTTGACAATGGGGGCAACAGCGACTGGAACTACATGGAATATTCAATGCTTAAACACAGAGAACATCATCCTTATTGTACCTAATCATAAAATAGGTGAGGATTGCAAGCCGCAATGACCACAAAATAATGGCGTGATGGTTTACCTATTCCAATGGTCGATCACAGAAAGGGATACGTCATTTCGACGTACCTGTGGTGTTGGATGTGATACGTTTTGTATTTACGTGTAATCTAATGTTATTAAGTTTAAAACATTACTTTCAATTCCACAGTTTACTCCCTCGAAACCAGAAGTACAGTTGCAGAAGCCAGTGTATGGGAGGCAGCCGTCGTTGTTGCAGGTGCCATTGTTGAGGCAGGGTTGACTCTTACCCCTACCACAGTGGAAGGAATCTGGAGCTGATGTGACAATCACAAGACATTGGGATGTGAATATATTGATACAATGCAACGACTTTAAAGAGTGACTATTTGAACTGAACTAATTAGTATAAATCAGAATATCACTTAGGATAATAGCCAAAACAATACCATTGGCATGTGAAAGAAGTATTGTGTAATCATAACAATTCCTGAGGCAATCTGGGTTTACTCAAGCATTTTGTTTTTATTGGAGTCAACGTGTTAAATGGGTAAAACACCTAGTTCCAAACATACATTTCCTCAAAATATTGCCATTTGAAACAGGCTAAACCGTCAATTTTACCACAGGGTTTAAACACAGTAACTAAGAAACTGACCATCGCTGTCGCTGATGGTGACGGCCACAGTGATGTTGTTGGTGATCTCTGCGCCGGTGATGAAAATGGTAAACACTTCTTTGGGTTCCGCCAGCTGTGGCAAAATGTATTTTTCATGCGTCAGTTTGTTTTGGCATGACTGACTGAAAATGGTTTTACGCCGCTTTTAGCAATATTACAGCAATGTCACAGTGGGAGACACCAGAAATGGGCTTCACACATTGTACCCATGTGGGGAATCGAACCCTGGTCTTCTGCGTGACGAGCGAACACTTTAACCACTATGCTACGCCACCGCCCCTGTTTTTGGCAATGAGGCATTGTGGCAAAAACATAAGAACATGCAGTGTGACTGCTGTTTCTGTGGTGGTCACGACCAAAGCCATAAAAACTCTCAAAGGTCAAGCTGCCTTCACACTTACCCATCCAACTGATACTCCTTACTTAATTTTGCCAGGCTTATTGTCTTCATACAGGACCACAGCAACAATTTTCTCCCTTTGGAGACCAATTCAAATTGGCACAAACACTTCAATCAAATCATATTTTGTTCACGTATCACTACAACAAATACCTCCCCCTTTAGACCAGTTTAAGTAGGCATGACATTTTGTAGAAAATGTTTTGTCAGCAGTGACACTCACCAAGTCACTGATGACAGAGGCCAGTGTAGTTGTTACGCTCATTACGTTTTCAGCAAATGTGATATTTAACCACAGTCCGAAATGTGCAAAGTCCGTCCCGGCATCGGCAGTACCAGCGATGATGTGCAACTGGAGTGTGAAGCTGTGGGTGGAGGTGTCGTTCCTTTCAAGTGTCAGAGTTACGTTGTTGGAAGCGTTCTCCTTGATTGCAATGTCAGCAGGCTGCTTCAACTGTACCGGTGGACCTGCAGAAAAAGTGTCTCTGGAGGATGAACATTGTGGGGAAGAGAGTAAGAACAGGTCACCAGTATTCTATTGCTTGTAGAGAATGTCGTCGCTATTTCTTGTTTCGAGTCTAGACCAGACAATCTAGTGATTGGCACCATGAGCATCGATCTATACAATGGGGATATGATTACAGGCATCACAACCAAACCACCAAACCTAACCATCAGATCCCGCTAATCGCATCTTACAACAAGTATAGGTTGCTCAGGACCAGTCGACCTTATTGGAGCGGGTCGTTAAATGCCGTGCCTTTCGATTTAGTGACTGAGTGAGTGAGTTCGTATTTCACACTCAGCAATATTTCAGCTATGTGGAGGCGGTGTGTAGTTAATCGAGTCTGGACCAGAAAATCCAGTGATCAACAGCATAAACATCGATCTACACAATTGGAATACGATGACGTGTGTTAACCAAATCAGCGAGTCTGACCACCCGATACCGTTAGTTGCCTCTGACGACAAGCATGGGTTACTGAAGACCAGTTCTAACCCGGATCTTCACGGGTGCCTTTCAGTGTAACTTGACGGCGTTGGAAATAACATTAACCAGCAGATTGTCTTGCCTACACTAAAGTAGTTACATGTCGACGTGAAGTAGCCGGAATATTGCTCGCTGTGGCGTTAAACACCATTCACTCACTCTCATTTGTTTTGATAAAAGTGAAATTAGATGCTTGTAACATCATATAATGTCATGATTAAAGCAAACAAACGTATGCAATATTTCTTCTCTTCGTACGGGTTTACGTATTGTTTGAAGAATATGATTTTTGTCAAGTAGATTCTTTGAGATATCACTGACGTTCATCGTCGATGATGGTGACTGTCACATTCATGTCAGGTTCACCCAGTATGAAGCCTGTTAGTTGGACCAGGAACGTCTCTCCAGGGTCGAGATCCTGAACAGAGAATATGTAAGGAAATTATCAAATCAATGGATGATTACTATTACTCATAATTGTCAAATATCGGGGGAGATTTTGTCACCTGTTCTTACAGTAAAAGAAAACATTTTTCGTACATATTGGTAAAATCCCGATTAAAAACTAGTTTTAAGCAATACAATGTCACAAGAATATTTGTTTGTTGTTTACCGTTTTTCGAGAATGACAGTGTAAAAACATGGCGCATGTTTAGAGGTATTAGTCGTTTCAAAGATTCAAAGAATACATCAACATGTTGCAAATCAAACAGGTAAAGCACGAGGAAGGTTTACATCATTCTTCCAGGGTTTATACTAAAGACGACACTCTGTGAGTTTAAAACTGAAATAGTATTAGACAACATACGTTGAACAGCACGTCATATCGATACAACAGGCATACTACAGCATTCATGCCTTAGTAAAACAGTTTTATGTAAAATGCCCAAATGTGAAACATTAGTGACAAAAAAATGCCTGATGTAATTCTCAGTTATGACTGAAACCATATATTTCCGTGATTGTTTCAGATGTACATTTGACTTCGCATGTTTTTGACTAGTACCACGGATTAAACGACATAAGCTCTCCTTTTCACGAACATCACTATATGGATCATACTTAATCTCATGTGATTTAGTGCGGTGAGATAGCGGTTAAAGTGTTCCCTCGCCAAGCCGAAGCCCCGTGTTCGGTTCCCAACATGGGTAAAGTGCGCGACGCCTATTTCTATTCTACCCCGACGTGATATTGCTGAACTATTGCTGAAAGAGGCGTAAAACCTAACTCATGTACTCATTACAAGAAGGAAAAGGGGTTTATTGCTTTTTAGGTCGGAAAGTAAACTTACCGTATCATCCAAAATGGCGATCGTAATGGTAGTGGTCTTTTGGTCAAATGGAACTTGCCGTAACGTCTCAAAGACTGGTGTGTAGTCGGATCCACTTGCTGTGTCGTCAGCCGTTGAATACTTAAAGGAGAACGATTCAGTCAGTAAGGTATTGATAGTTTTAGGATGATGAACCTAACAGGCCATTTACTTGACCAGCAGACCAAGCAATGGATATTACATCATGGGTTAACCTTTGTCAAAACGAATTATTTATAACAGAAGGACACCACAACAATACATTGTGTAAAATGCGTTTTGATCCTGAGCACAAACCTATACACGTTCCTTTCATACAGCTCCATACCAACTAGGGCTTGAACAGGAAACTCTGGTACTCCGGGTTAGTAACGTATATTGTACAGTAGAACACGGATATAACGAACTCCAAGGGACCAAGAAATTTAGTTCGCTATGTCCGTTGTTCGTTATTCACATTTGACCGCCATCTTGGATTGTAGAGATGTAGACATTCACAGACATTACCTATATCATGCTGATAAATATGAAGTTTATTTTTATAATAAAATTGAAATAATACAACTACAACTTAAATATATTAATTTTTTTAATGAAAATGCAAGCTTACATTTATAATGTCCAGATAAACCACGAAAGAAGCAAAAACTGTAGCGATTTTTTTTCCATTTGTGACATGTCATAACATGCCCGTGCCTTTTTCTTTTATATTTTCATTTTTATGTAATCAGGCTTTCCGTTCGTTAACATGACACAACAACGGGAAATACCTCCGTTTTCGAAGCTTCGTATGAATAACATGCGAGGCGAATCGTGTGGTGTCTGGTATCGTTAGACAGCTCTGGAACATCAACGATATCACTGTACCCTTGCCGAGAGTATTTTCACAGTTGTTAAAAGCGATTGGATAAAGATTGGTTTCTAATGACGCTTTTTCGCCACAGTATATTGTTTAATGACAATGACAATGCTCCTCCATACTTACACTTCAAGTTGCTGGTGTTGGCTCTTTCTGCCAATGCAGGCATTCGTTCTGACGTTTATATAAATAGGAAGCTTCAGTCAATCTCAGTGCGTGCATGATCAGGGTCCTCTTGGGTCTTATTCAATGTTATAATATGACACTTACGATCATCGGAGCGCTAAGATCGCATGTGCAGATGGGACCAGATCGTGTACATGTGAATAGTGGCCGGGGTACGATCAAACACCCTCTATCAGACTTTTTGTACCCAACCCAAGAGTCCTACAGCGGGTAAAGCCGAGTAATAAGGTATCGGCTACCCAGGTAGCAAACTAAATTTGGACTCGTTCCAGTCTCAATATCATCCCGTTACTTTTGGTTATTTTATAGGGGTGACTATTGAGGGGGAAACAACTATTGCGATAGCAATAGTCTATTGCAACATAGTATTTTTCTCCTTGAATTGTCTTCTTGAAAAGTCATTTCCCAAATGAATGTATAGTGTATATGAAATAAAAACAACTAGTTTTTTAATATCAATTTTTTACCAAGTAGTCTTTTAATATCTGTTAAGAAATTTGAAACTGGGTTCAAATAAACAGTTACAATACAAACATAAAAAACTACATAAATATTTGTCAACGGAAGTCAATTATTAAACTAACGATAGTCATACATACTATCGATGCATCAATAGTTTTTTCTTTCTACCATCGATTAATTATCGGAGGCTCAACAATTGCAATCCATCGATAGTTCAATGCATCGTTACAGCCTAAATTTTTTACATGAAAGTTATAAACACTCACAGTGAAATCCCAAGTGTCGATAACAGGCAACACAGTTTTGGTAACAGTAAGAACGATAGAGCCTGCGGTCTCGTCCACTACTGCAGGGTCCGGTGTCACCGTTATTATACCTGAAAGAAAGTATATTGTTAAATGCTGAAAAAATACCTGAACTTCATTTACATTTAACAAATACACATCCCGATACACCAAAGACATGGACATATGTGTTACAATCAAATACACATCGACTAAAGACATAGACATATGGTGATTGTTTGACAATGGAGTACACAAGGACCGAAGTCATGGACATATGGTGATTATTTGACAATGGAGTACACAAGGACCGAAGACATGGACATATGGTGATTGTTTGACAATCGAGTACACAAGGACCGAAGACATGGACATATGGTGATTGACAATCGAGTACTAAAGGGCCGAAGACATGGACATATGGTGATTGTTTGACAATCGAGTACACATGAACTGAAGACATGGACATAATGAATGAATGAATGAATGAATGAATGAATGAATGAATGAATGAATGAATGAATGAATGAATGAATGAATGAATGAATGAATGAATGAATGAATGAATGAATTTCTTTATTTCCTATAGTAAATTGACATCCGAAGATTTACAATATGCCTGATGTTACTGAGTAAATACATGATGTTAATATGTACATGAATATATATATGAGTCCTAATGACACAAGCTGTATAATTAAATAGTCGATATCGCATACGTACAGAAATGACAGCTATTTGTGCACAGCAAATGAAAAGAGAGGATGGTCTAATACATTTTTCAGATGAAGTACATATTTACAGAATAATAATGCTATTTTTTTTAAGGACTTGGATCAGTTCTTGTCGGGTGCTGTTTTTGTGTTCGCTGTTGAACACGACATCCAACAGGTATTCTATTGGGGACATCCATGGAGTTATTGGCTGCAAGTAATCTGTATGGGGTCTGGCGTTGTCACGTTGACAAACGACACCACATGGCAGCTGATGTACAAATGGTAGGGCAACTGGACGACGAACGTCCTCCATGTAACTGTAACACTGAGGTGTCAAATGTCTGTAAACAGTGATCAGCGGTCTTCTCGCCTGTCCATCCACAAATTCATCCCTGCAACATAATACCCCCTATACAGCGCGACCTCCTAAAGGTACCATGCCGGCCGTTTACTTTATTGAATTTGTACGATTTAAGGTGTGTGTGCCCACTGTCAATTATTTTGAATGTTTGATTTTGTTAACCTACCTCGATTCGGACAGCTATCATGGCAATATCGGTTGCAGTTTAACTGTCTAATAAAAATTGTGATTTTGCAATACATTTTACTTCATAAATATTTTGTGGTTTGTAATTAGATTGATTTTAAACTTTCTTTTGGTCATCAGTTTAACTTTTTGCACTGCCATACTTCACTGCATCACGGCACTCGTGAAGAGCAACCTACTTGTGGTGAGTGCTGGGTAACGCTGATAGCTGATAGCTGATCCCGGGGCAGAATAGGTCCTCAGCACCACATTGCTGATTTTAAGTGAGTGAGTGAGTGAGTTAAGATTTAGAGTCACATCGGCAATATTTCAGTCATATCGTGACTTTAAAAAGTTATGAATTCATAATAAACACAACTGAATTACATAAAACCTGTCAACGAAGGTCACTAAAAATAACTAGATTATCAAAGATAGAGAATTAAACCTAGCATGTAACTGCAAAACAAACTTTTATGGACAATTCAACATAAGAATAACGGGCTATAGATTTCCAACAACTGAAGGTAGATCACCATACTATTGACCATGGGGACTTACAGTACATTTGCTTCCTGCGTGGGCCCTAGCTGGATTTACATTATCCCTTCAGCTGTTAGCAATTTAGACAACTCTAGCCATACATTAAAAATACACATATTCTACGGTTAAAAAAGTGGAGAGTTTAAATTTACTTTGATTGCTTTGGGACTTACGTACCCTCTCAGGTGAGGTGAGGTGAAATTGGGTTTAACGTCGTGCTTGAGAATATTTTGCTCATATGACGACGTGCATGCGTGTGTATGTGTACGTGTATGTGCGGCTGCTTGTACTAGCCAAGACAGAAGCTGGTTTTATAGTGCTAGCCCACTGAGATACCATACCGCAGTGAAGCATGAATACCCTACTCAGACACATTATTCTGACTCCGAGCCGACCAGTCCTTGTACCCATTAATGCCGAGCGCCTGGCAGGGACCAACAAGTACCATATTTTAACGTCTTTTGGTATGACGCGGTTGGGGATCGAACCGGCGACCTTCCGCTCTCCGGGCGGACGCTCTAACCACTACACCACGCAGGCGGTCCCCTCTGAGGAGGACAATAATTTTACAGTACTTTAAGGACTCTCAGGCGACGTGGGTCGTTACTTTTTACAATCAGTCACATGATTTCCTGTTCCAGACTCGACCACTGACCTATTGCTGGAATAAGGCTGAATGCGGTGGCAAGCTCCGCCAGTAACTTGCTGGGTGAATCCAAATTTCGTGGATCAATGCTCAATATGTCGGTCATTGGAACGTCTGGTCAAGAATCAATTATATAGAAAGGTCAGGATCATCCATTTTGTATCCGTTGTGATGGAAGAATAACCGTCAAGCATGTTCTGATTGACTGTATTGATTTTTCCATCACGAGGGTTAATTATTTCACACTTTCATCCCTAAAGGATCTTTTTGGGTGTTTAAAAGAAATTGAATTAATTGATAAAATTCGAAATGGTAGAATGATTGACTACTGTACCTTCAAAAGTTGTTGAAGTAGCTTTAAATATTTGTCTTCCTGAGAGTGTATGTAAGTTAAATTTGATTTAAACTATTTCTCATTCTACGTGGTTTTAAACGCAGTATATTTATTACTGTTAACTGTATTTAACTGTTTGGCTAAACTGTCCGATAAGCATCAATTACCAGAGCTACCTGGTACCATGCGTACTCTAAGTCCCCAAGGTCCCCCCTGTGGTTGCCCACTTATGGGTGCTGACGATCTATAGCCCATTTTCGTAATGTTCAGTTAAGAGAGGTAAGTAGACACTTGCATATTCTTTGTACATATATAATGGAATGTTAACGCCAGAGAATAACGAGTCCTTCCGTCAAGGAAGGGCAAATCAATGAATATAAAAGAGAGAAGCATGACAATCAGTGATGACAGCAGGTGTTTGCAGAAAAGGCAAATGTCAGTATGACGTTCAGGTATAAAACGACTCACCAAGCCAACACCACACCACCGGGACGCTAACCAGCAACACAAGGAATGACGCAGAGGCGGCCATTTGTTTCTTCATCTGTTCGGGACAAGGGAAGACATATTTAAAACATATAACTACGTGCACATCTAAATATGCCAAATCCTCACCGTAAAACATGGCCAAAACGCTTAATTATTACCCTCGTTAATTGATCAGTGTGTTCTGGATTTTTATTGTCTTCTCCCCGTTGTGTGTACATCACAAGTTGCCTTTGGGGTTAACTGTCTCATCGCCATCTAATTCTACCATGTACCCATTTCGTGCAGGATGAAGACAGGCACATTTCGACGCCACTTGCTTTAGGAGACACAACATATGACATATGTGCTTAAGCTCGCAGCAGGACCAAGAACAGGGTGCCGTTCCACTAACCGATCTTATCTAAGATCAATCTTAGCAAGTAACGCCAATTTTACAATCGTCTTAGCTAAACGTTACACCCGTTCCACTAGCCGATCTTAGGCCGATCGTAGCCGGTCCCGATCTTACGATCCGATCCAAGCTTAGATCGAGACTCTTTCGTGCGAGAGATAGAGGAATGCGAGGCACGAGTTATCTCCCTTTGCATAGTCTAGCAAATGATAGAAAGTAGTTTACGAACAAACTGAGTGAGTGAGTGAGTTTAGATTTACGCCGCACTCAGAAATAGTGCAATAGTATATGTCGGCGGTCTGTAAATAATCTAGCCAAGATACATAGCGTTCACTAACATGAGCGTTCATGTTAGTGAACGCTATGTATCTTAGTTATAAATAATCGAGTCTGGACCAGACAATCCAGTGAACAACAGCATGCGCATCGATCTGCGCAGTTGGGAGCCGATGACATGTGTCAACCAAGTCAACGAGCCTGACAACCCGATCCCGTTAGTGGCCTCTTACGACAGGCATGGGTTATTGAAGTTCAATATTCTAACCCGGGCCTTCATGGGTATTTTTCCAACCAAGTGTAAACGTGGAGAAAAAACCTAGAGCAAAATATTAGGGTAGTGAGCACCTTGGTTTCAGGTGCAAGTGCGCGAGAACGCTGGGTATCAAGCATAATATAATAATAATAAATGCATATTTATAGTGCGCCTATTCCACATCCTTGGGCATGCTCAAAGCGCTGTGTACAGATAATTTACACGAGAATATTTACAGCTGAGATTATAAGTAATATACTGAGAACAGGTTTTAAGTCTGGACTTTAAAAATGTCAATTGTGTCAGAGCTTTTAATATGTGCCTGAACCTTGTCAATCAGAATAAACAAGGCGTGACGAGGCTATAACGTATGTTGAATCTGTCAGTGGTCTTGAATAACACGCGGCCTGCCTTTAGAATCCCCCCACCAAATATGCGCAGTGAAATCAAGCATATTTGTATCTTTTTGCTTCAGAACATTGTTCACTTCACGGCTGTCCCTATTCTTAACCATGACGTTGCAATATTGTTGTGCAAATGTGTTACACCGACTCGCTCGGTTGTGTTCCCATGACGACAGTGGTCAGACTGGCCTGACATTTGTAAGGCTTCAGTGCAGTGTTTGTTTACATCACAGAAATATACAAATTCATTTCATGGGGGGACTTTATGGGACGCTCACGGTGAAATGCTCGCTCTTATTTTTCACATAGAATAGGAAAGCCACCATTTTGGTTTCTCTGCGATTGATTTTAGCTATCCTAAATTGGTCATGAGCAACTTAGACTTTGAATCTTAACTTTACGATTGACTTAGGTAAGATTGGTTAGTGGAACGGCATGCCGATCGTAACGTCACGCTAAGATTGGGATTTTAGGGGTTTACGATTGGCATGGGGCTAAGATCGGTTAGTGGAACGGCACCCAGGACACTTTTAATGTGCCGATTCGCCACATGGGCACAAGGTACGTTTCTGGTGTCCCCGCTGTGATATTGCTGTAATGTTGCAAAAAGGAGGCGTAACATTAAACTCACTCATTCACTACACTGCTCAATCACATCAATATTTGGCATCTTAATCTACATGAGCAAGGCAATATTCGGTGCATTAGACTATCCGAGCACAGCAATATTCTCTGCCTTACTGAACCTGAATGTAAAATCAGTCGAGCTAAATACTACCATGCAAAAACTGGTATCATTAAAAACTATTATTATCAATATCGTGACTGTAAAAAGTTATTTATTCAAAATAAACTCAATTTAAGTATAAAAGCTTGTCAACGAAGGACAGTAAAATAGCTAGATTATCCCAGATGGAGAATTAAAACTAGCATGCAACTGTAAATTTAACAATTTTTATGGACCATACAAAATATGAACAGGCTGGAAATCACCAGCAACTGAAGGTAGATCCCCATACAAGGGACCATGGGGACTTACAGTACCTTGTTACCTGCATCGACCCTAGCTGGATTTACATCACCCCTTCAGGTGTTAGCGATTATGGAGAAATTTAGCCGAATATCCTACTATTAAAACGATGGTACTTCAAAAGAAATGGGACTTACGTAACATCTCAGGGGAACAGTATTATTACGTTTCTTCAACCCCCTTCGAGTGAGTGAGTTGATATTTATCGTCACATCTGCAATATTTCAGCCATATCGTGACGAGAACAATTAATTATCATTAAAGATGAAAATAATTAGAAGCTATAAAACTGTACGATGAACAGTAAAACTACTTGTCTATCACAGATAGAAATTTAAAACTAACATGTAATAATAAAATTAAACCTCCATTACAACACAATATACAATATACAAACGGGCCGAAGATCACCAGCGACTGAAGGAAGATGACCACACTAGGAACCATGGGGGCTTACAGAACTTTTGCTACCTGCATGGACCCTAGCTGGATTTATATCATCTCTTCAGCCGCTGGTGATTGTAGTCGAATTTAGCCATCATTTAAAATTACAAAGATAATAAGTTTAAAATATTTGGTAAGATTAATTTACTTTGATTGCTTTGGGACTTACGTACCACCTCAGTGAACCCCCTTCGAAGGCACAGCCATAATAATTTTTCAGAGTGTTCAACGTGGCGCATAGCACCATAACGACACTGTGGAACCGATATCGGCACCGAGGAACCACACGTGATCGACACAGACCCGGCAGACTAAGAGTGACCACCAGGGTCACCAGGTTACCTCATCTACGGATTCGAACCATAACCGCGTCCTCTACAGCATCCAACATACCGCGCCTGCGTAGGATATCGGCCCAGACAGTGAGGAACAGATTGCGAGAAGCAGGACTTCGGGCTCGACGTCCTGTTCGTGGGGTCATTTTGACAGCACAGCACCGTCAACGACGTCGTCAATGGTGTCAACAACACAGAGTATGGCCGCAACTGCGTTGGAGAAGAGAGTGGTTCACAGACGAATCCCGTTTCCTACTCTATCGTTCAGATGGAAGAACTCGAGTTTACAGACGTCAGGGACAACGTTTTGCACCATGCTGTATTCAAGAAGTTGACAGATTCGGCGGTGGAGTGTTAAGGTATGTGCAGCCATCTCACACAGTGGAAAAACAGATCTTGTCTGTGTGCAGGGCAATCTCACGGCTCGGAGGTACACAGACGAGATCATGAAACCTCACGTTCTACCCATCACCCGGAACGCCAATGTCATTTTCCAGCATGACAACGCCCGGCCACATGCAGCTCGACACACAACAGGTTACTTTCAGGCAAACAACGTCCAGGTTGTCATTCAGACCCTTGTTGGGTCCATGGGAAGGAGATGCCAGGCTGTTCTTGATGCCAATGGTAGGCATATGCGATACTGACCACGTTGATAACCTTGACCTTTGAATGTGACATTTCAACCCTGTTGTAATGACCTCGACTTCTGTGTTCTCCATGCTGCACATTTCCTCCTTTGTACCATTCTTCATTAACATATTAAATGTTCCTAAACAATTGAACCAAGACCTTGTTTTGCGTTTCTTTTCTTGGGTAATATAAATTACCCTTAGACCTTGAGGGTGGACAGAATCAAGAATTTTAAGGTTGCTTTTACAGGTTCCACCATATACGATAGGAGCAGTAATCAAGCCAGTGATCGATATAGGGGTAGGAGGGTAGCTTGATCCCCTCTCCACATAGAATTGGAAACGACTTTCAACAAGTCAAGCGCCTTTAGGCATTATTTTTTAGATATTGATATGCGGAAGAAAACTTAAATGCGAGTAAAAAATTAAGCTCAAGAACATGACTTCCTTTACAACTTTCAACTATTTTATAATTTAAAAATAGTTATGGGTCCTTATGCGGCTTATGTTTTCTACAGAAATCTCGACAATTAGCTTTGGAGGTAGGAAAATGGTCACTACCACAGTACAGACCATTCAAATTCACTTAGTAAATTGGAATCCACAACTAATAGGTCCAAGCAGCAATACGTGCCAGTTGCAGGATGTAGATAGGTGTTAGAACTATCATTAAAAAGGCATAAATTGTTATATAAGAAAAAATCCTCAAGTAATTTTCCTTTCGTATTGGTGTCGTTACTACCCCAAAGTGGGTTATGACCTGTCAAATCACCCATTATGACACAGGGTTTGGGAAGTTGGTCATAAAGTGCCAGAAGCGCAGACTGTGGAAGAGAATACGATGGTGGTATGTATAAAGAACACAAGGTGAAAACAATATTCAGTGTCACGCGTACTGAAACAGCCTGAAGTGGGGTATTCAGAGAAACTGGACTATGAACAACACCCTGTCGTACCATAACAGAAACTCCTCCGGTTGCTTTGTCACCTACAGGTAAAAAGCAATGGCACGAGTCTTACTGTCGTAAATCTAATGTATCAGTTGCTTCGAGGATGGTTTCTTGAAAACAAAAAGCTGATGGTTTGTAACCCTGGATTAATAGCTGGAGGTCATTATAATTGTTCCGAAGTCCTCTAGCATTCCGTTGTAATATACTGGTGGAGACTCATGGTGGTGTAACTGGAGATCGCGAATGAGGGGAAGGTCTAAAGGATTGTGCAAAGAAACTTCAATGTGCTTAAGAGCCTTTGCTTGTTTTCTTTTTCGTTGTTTTCTTTCTGGTTTGGAAAAGACTCTTTTGATGGGCTCGATATTTTTTCCAGTATGGCTTTCAGGCACAGATCCCCGTCTCTGGCCAACTGTTCGGCACTGAGGGGTAGATGGCACATCAGTCTGTGTTTCAGTTGTTGAGGTCATCTCAGAAAGCGGATAGAGGAGTTTTTGTTGGCCTGTGACCCAGCTGATTGCTGTCTGGCATACACTATCCACCTTTTGGATGGAAGAAGAGACTGCGACAGAGTACGACTTTGTTAAATTTTTCTTTTGGCGTCTGGTCCGCAACCAATTTCTTGGCGTCAGAGAAAGAAATGTTGTTTGTATATTTAATCTTAATAATACTGGATTCTTTCTCAAATACTGCACATTGCTTTGAGTAAGACATATGCTCACCACTACAGTTTGCACATTTGAACTCGTTTATGCAAGCGGTGTTCTCATGTTTTCCACTGCGGCAGGGCCGAATTGGGGAGTTCTTACAAGAACTAGCCCCATGACCAAATGTTGACACTTAAAACAACGGAGTGGATTCGGGCTATATGTCTCCACACCGATGTTAAGTTATCCAGCTTTGATAGAAGTCGGTATTTTCGAAAGGGCAAAGGTAAACAGATAGGTGTTAGAATTGACTATTCTATCATTATTTTTTTCAGGTGAATCGTCTGACAGATGTCACCCCTTGAGGTTTGAGTTCTTTCGTAATCTCTTCTTCTGACATGTCAGACAAAAATTTCGAATAATCTCGAACAATGCCTCGACACGAATTTAGTGATTTGTAGACTGATACAACCTCAGTATCAGCAAAATTCTTTGCTTTGAGCAGATTTAGAGACTGCTGCCTCTTAGCACATTCAATCAACAGAGCCAGACCGTAGACGAATGATATTTGGTACAGTGCCACATATTCCCTCCACAGCTTTAGACACAACAAAAGGGTTTATCCTAAGTTGGAGACCATTAGCAACTTTCACAACCAGAAATCGTGGCAAAGGAATCAACAGTTAAGACAGAACTTTCATCATCAGGAGATGACACAGTGTCTGCATCAATATGCATCAAATCTTTTATTTGTGTACCGAGAACCAGTGATTGGCGGGGAAGCCATCTTGAAAGGTAACATATTCGACATCCCTGCTCCCCACCCGCCATCGAGTGTCAACAAAGACAGTATTGTAGTGAAAAAAACCGACTACAAACACTAGGGCTACAGGGATGTTATACTCATGCAATATCAACACAGGTAGCAAATATTGCCAAACTGAATATAAGGCAGGTTGGTTCTACCCTGTAAAGGTATTTGGTGACAATTTGAACCTTGAGATCAATAATGCCAGATTGGCCCATGAGCCACCGCCTTCTGGCATAGGACTCTAGGCAATTTTGTATAGCAATAATGTGTTTACTGGAAATCAAAAATGGCCAATACCCAATAAGATAGATGTGCACAACTTCTGTCTATGCACAGGGCACAGGGTACCCGTCTAGGTGAAGTAATGGCTGAAGTGGTGTGTTGGGCAAAATGAACACGGTTCCAGGCTCCCAGTGCCCTCAACCACCAGACTCCCGTGCTCCACCGACACAGGGGCGCAACCCACGGCAAACAGGTTGGTGGGTTGGTATGCCCCCGGGTCCACACGGGGGGTTGAGCTCTTAGCGTTACCCAGCACCCACCACGAGGAAGTGGCTCTTCACGAGTGCCCCGACCAGAGTAATATTCGGTGAATTCGATTGAGTGAGTGAGTGAGTTAAGATTTACAGTGACATCGGCAATATTTCAGCCATATCGTGCCTAAAACAAGTTTAGAATTCACCATGAATATATGTAAATTATAAAAGCCTGTCATGAAAGGACAGTAAAACCAACTAGAATACAGTATCAAGAAATATAACTAGCATCTCACTCTAAAATTTGATTTCAAATAAGGATAATACAATATATGAATTGGCTATAGGTCGCCAACAACTGAATTTAGATCACTATACTGGGTACCATGGGGACTTACAGTGCCTTTGCTATCTGCATGGACCCTAGTTGGATTTACACCATCCTTGAGCCGCTGGCGATTGTAGGAAATGTTTAGCCAAACTTTAAAAGAACGAAAATACTACGTTTTAAAAATCTGGTAAGTTTAAATTTAACTTTGAAAGTTTTGGGACTTACGCATCCTCTCAGGAGGACAACAATTTTACGATACTTTAAACCCCTTCGAGGATACAGCCACTAACAATCGCAGTTGCTAATTTATACGACCATGTCTAAAGTACCATTTATCTATTTACAAAACATAATATTCAAATTCTATCAATTAACTCTATTTCCTTTAAACATTCAAGTATTAAATGATAATCAATATTATAAAAAAAGATCCTTAACTGTTTTGACATTGAAATATTTATCCCTTGTGATGGCAAAATCAATACAGTCAAGCAGGACATGCTTGACCGTGATTCTTTCGTCACAAGGGATGCAAAACGGAGGATCCTCACCTTGTAACAGGTATTCCTGACGGTGAATTACACTACCCGAGCACATATAATGATAAACATGAAGTATCCATATTTGGAAAGAAGAAATATACTTACATTTTGAGCTCCAGTTCGTCTGATGAGGATCCCGCTCTGTCATCACTTAAATATATATATTCATGTCTAATTTGCATAGATGATTTACAGCAGCTCTTACTTAAACAATTGGGTAACTGCATGGTTTACATTGTCACGCCTACGATGATCCAGACCAGCCACTGACAGACAACATGTCTTATATTTTTGACTACGTAATTCAGCTTTTCAGGCCTCTCAGGATATTGTCACTGCGTGAGTGCTTGCTTTGAGTGTTTTTATCATGCACATGAACTGACACAATTAACGAATAATGACTTCTTTGATTGGCATTCTAGAAGTTGAGCAGATGAAGAATGAGGACAGATTTTTCTGGATATGCAATTTCGAAACGTCGCCTTTACAGAATAAAGAAGTTGTGTATCCCAAAGGTTTGCCCTCATTCTTAACGAATTATGGTTCACGGTATAAACCACAGCTAAATACAGGACGGTTCAGTGCCCTTCACTCCGCAAACATGCCTTTGGTCAGTTGGAAAAAAACACTGGCTTGATTGCATGCAGTTCCCCCGAACATTTATGAATTTGTTGTTTATATTCCACTCGTAGTGGTTGCCTGTTTATACATAGGGTCAGTGTTGTTGGTTGTTTAATACCACCCCAGCAATATCCCAGCTTTATGAAGGTGATCCGTACATACTGGAATCAGGACTGACAATATCCCAGCTTTATGAAGGTGATCTGTACATACTGGAATCAGGACTGACAATATCCCAGCTTTATGAAGGTGATCTTTACATACTGGAATCAGGACTGACAATATCCCAGCTTTATGAAGGTGATCCGTACATACTGGAATCAGGACTGACAGTATCCTAGCTTTATGAAGGTGATCCGTACATACTGGAATCAGGACTGACAATATCCTAGCTTTATGAAGGTGATCTGTACATACTGGAATCAGGACTGACAGTATCCTAGCTTTATGAAGACGATCTGTACATACTGGAATCAGGACTGACAATATCCCAGCTTTATGAAGGTGATCTGTACATACTGGAATCAGGACTGACAGTATCCTAGCTTTATGAAGGTGATCTGTACATACTGGAATCAGGACTGACAATATCCTAGCTTTATGAAGGTGATCTGTACATACTGGAATCAGGACTGACAATATCCTAGCTTTATGAAGGTGGTCTGTACATACTGGTATCAGGACTGACAATATCCTTGCTTTATGAAGGCCATCTGTGCATACTGGAATCAGGACTGACAATCCAATGATTGACATCATGAGCATCCATCTATGCAATTAGAATACGGTGACGTATACACATCAACCAAGTCAGCGATCCTGTAAGCACGCTGGTGAAGACCTATACTAATTCGGAGCAAATCATTAACATGCGTATTTGTTGAAACAATGCAAACGCACACATATGAACTGGCTATGTTTGTAAGCGACGAAATATAGAATTGTACGGTTGTACGGCGTCCATTCGCCCAAAGCGCCAGAAACCTATGACCGCCGGTTCGGATCTCGGATCGCCAGCACCATGCCCTGGCTCGTGGACTTCACCAGTATGGTGAACGTTTAACATCTTCATCACTGTGTTCTTTCCTCATACACAATGCTGACACGCCGTAATGAGACTGGGATACTGCTTAAATCGGCGTTAAACGCAGGTCTCTCACTGACTTAGGTAAAAATGAAGCAGTTGTTACAATAGTTAGTTTAAAGTAAGCACTACTGTTGGGCTTCTTAATGTTCTAATTTTCAAAGTAACGCAGACAACTGGGTTCCGTGGTTCCGTTACCAAATGGACATGATAGACACTACGTGAGTGGCACGCAGGCACATACAGACTCACACTCAGACACACACTACATACCCGTTGCCTCTATAGACAAACAGATTGAAGCCCACACAGTACAAGAGTGATTAATAACCCTCAATCCCACCGAGGGCCAGAAAAATGAGATGCACACAGAGGGTATCTGTCTTTGACTTCTCCACCTGCTTGATATTAAAAATATGAATTTCTCTTGACATAAGGTTGCTGTCAGAAATTTAAGTAATGTAAAGCAAAACGCGGCATTAGAAATCCCATGGACGCGCTAATAGGAAAATTCTATTGTATTGCAACACTTAAGAAAGGTAAAATACTTTATGGATGACAACTTCTATATTTTATAATGATTATAGGTTATTATGCCGTTGTCAAGCAAGAGTGAATTACTACAGCACAAAACAGATTTATATACGTATATACATACTTATTAAACGGGGATTCAGTAAAAACAACATCAATGTATGCATCAAAGGGATTAACAACAACAGCAATAATGGATACTGGTTTGTTTGAAGCCTGTTTTGATTGAAGTTTTGAAATATATCACATAAAGAATCCATTTTGTCCTGAATTAAACATTAAATGCAACGGTAAAAATATGTTTTGAGTCAATTAAATCCGAACTCGAATCCAAATGGTCAAAATATATATGTCATACTTTCATCGAATGTTGTGTGAAATGCTCAGTGACTGATGGTGTTAGTGCCTATATCTATACAGGTAAGTTCTGAGCTGTGTAACGCAGAGAAAAGATATTAAAGTAGATGCGATTAGGGACATTTTTAGAATAGATATACACGACGAATAAGATATTATAAGCGAGACAGCAGTGTTCTTCCACGAATAGACGCTCACAGTTAGGTGCATTTAGAAAGTGCAACTAGATTTAACTAAACTAAACAGCTGCGTGGAGATTGTTTAACACGATGTTATACTCACATATACACTAATAGGCCTTGGTTATTCTCGGTTATACCACTGTACCAGTAAGACTTTAGAACCAACCCCGGTGGGTGAGTGAGTGAGTTACATTTATAGTCACAACGGCAGTATTTCAGCCATATCGTGACTAAATCAAATTATAGATTTGCAATTATTAAAAATTAAGCTATTTACATCTGTCAACGAAGGACAATAAAACAACTAGATTATCACATATATAAAATTTAAACTAGTAATTTAATCTAAAATAATTTAACTATACATGACAATACAACATAAAAACAGGATATAGATCGCCAACAACTGAAGGTAGATCACCATACTAGGGACCATGTGGACAGTACCTCTGCTACCTACATGGACCTTAGATGGATTTACACCATCCCCTCAGCCGCTTGCGATTGTAGGAAAATGTAGCCTAAATATAAAATAACAAAATTGCCACATTTAAAAATGTGGTAGGTTTAAATTTTACTTTGAAAAATTTGGGTCTAACGTGTCCTTTGAGGATACAGCCACTAACAATCACAGTTGCTAATTTATACTACCATTTATATAATTCCACTTGTCTATTTACAACACATATTGTTCATAATTTATCTAATAATTCTATTTTGTTTAAAAAACAATTACTAAATGATAATTTATATTATAAAAAAGATCCTTGATTATTTTGACACTGAAATATTTACGCCTTGCGATGGCAACATCAATACAGGCAAGCAGGACATGCTTGACCGTGATTCTCTCATCACAAGGGATACGAAACGGAGGATCTTCGCCTTTCAATATATATTCGTTAGTATATTTAGTATGTGCACTTGTAGTGTACAATGTCAGCCACAACCGAGAGAAGGTACCCCAGTCAGTTAATGTGAAGTCACTGTTTTCTTTTTCTGTTCTAGAAAATAGCGAGACAAAATATTTTCGTCAAATATGTGTCTCAGATGGAAATTCCAGCCCAGGAAAATAAAAAAACATTTTATTGTGTTTTCTGAAAGTACGAATGCGATGAACTGGTGCATACATGCAGTGTTCGGACCTTAGCTAGAAGAGGGTGGCTTAACCGTAGCAGCTACGCTTAGTCGATGTGATGTGTGATTGTGGGTTCGAATCCAAATTTCAAACTAATCATGACTTATAGTACAGTGATCGTATTTGTACATTTTTCTATAAAAAGAAAATTCACATCACTTCAAGCACAACCTTTTCACATCAAGCTGACAGGCTTTGATGTAATGGCTAAACACCCATATAAGTGGCGTTAAACCAAACATATTAGCTCGAAGCTGTAAAAAATTACATGACATTAGACTTTTATTGATGAATGATTTATTTCTGCCGTCAGTAACATATCTATAGATAATCAAGTGCTGATCTTCCGCAAAAGGAGTGATACATAAAAATTAAACAGATATTGTTTTTCAATATTATCTTTGAAATGTCCAAAAATATTATCCGACAATAAATGATGATAAAATATCTTATCTTTTACCCTATACATAGATTTTAACATTCTTCGTATTTTTATAACATCATGCACCACAGCATAGATAACACTTTACACCAACCACTGTCAACAGCCCACAACGTTTTCTAAACAGAAATTTCTACCAACCAAAGATAATAGCCCATAATATTGAATCTCTATAATCCAAATCCATAACGACAACTAACA